CCCCCCCCCCCCCCCCCCCCCCCCCCCCCCCCCCCCCCCCCCCGCCCCCGCGCCGCAGTCCCTTCTGTGCCGCGCGCGCACTGTCCGGGCTGCCCGGGGCGCAGTGGCCTACTTGGATGCCTCAGACTCGGATCCAAGCCCCAGTGCTCCATCTACACCGGGTGTTTCTCCTCCAATCTCCCCGCCTTTTAGTGAATGGCATCCCGTCCACCCGGTGGTTCAGACCAGAAACCTGCAGTGCTCCTTGACTCCTCTTTCGCTCTTACCTCCCCCACCGTCCAAATCAGCAGACTGTCCTGTCCTGTGAGCACAGTCTCCAAAATCCTTCTCGGCATCTGCGCCTGCCGCCCTGGCTGGGGGCCTGGACCAGGGCAGAGTCTCCTGGTGGTGGCCTTGAGTCCCACTCCATCCAGATGAGCGATGCCTCTTTCTGTCCCCGCCTCCATCACTGGCTCGCCCGGCTGGCTAGTCTAAGCAGGCTAAGCTCTGTGCTCCCTCAGGGCCTTTGCACACACTGGGCTCTCTGCCTGGAATGCCTTTTCTTTTTACTGGGACGCCTGTAGATCATGCCGTTCATGTGTCATAAATTCAAGCCCCAGGTTGGGTGTGGCGCCTACTTAATAAGGAAGTCTTTTAAAAAGTCTGTTACTATTATTCATCTTTATTCTCCCGTTTGACAGTAAGTTGTAGACATTGTGACCCTTTATCCCAAGTACTTCAGGGTGTCTGTCCTGAGAACAGTGATGTTGTCTTGCGTAAGCAGGTTCAATGATCAAGTTCAGGAAATTTAGCATCGATATATCTGAATCTGATATGAAGTCCATATTACACTTCCAGTTTTCTCAGGAATGCCCTCCGTAGCACTTCCCCACTGCAGTCCAGGGGCTCAGACTGCGTTCAGTGGTCCTGTGTCTTTTTTTTTCTTCCATCTGCAATGGTTTCTCAGCTTTGTTTTTCATGGCATCAGCATTTCGAAGGATACAGGCTGAAGGTCCCGGTTTGGGTTTGCCTGACTGTTTCTTTTTTCTTTTTCTTTTTTATTTATTTACTTAATATTTTTTAAAATGTTTTTTATTTATTTCTGAGAGAGAGAGAGAGAGACAGCGTGAGCAGGGGAGGGGCAGAAAGAGAGGGAGACACAGAATCCAAAGTAGGCTCCAGGCTCTGAGCTGTCAGCACAGAGCCCGACGCGGGTCTCGAACCCACGAACTGCGAGATCATGACCTGAGCTGAAGTCAGACGCTTAACCGACTGAGCCACCCAGGCTCCCTGATTGTTTCTTTCTTCACTGTATTCCTGCCACAGCCAGGTCCTTCCTACTTATCATGTGCCCTTAAATGTCACTTCAAAGAGGCCATCCCAGATGGCACCTGAGTGTGTGTGTTTTGTTTCCTCTAAGCACCGGGCTTCGGGCTTCGTGTAGTGCCCGCATCCTGCCCGTCTGTGCCCTAAGCCACAGCGTGTGTTTGTCCTGCTCTCAGTCACACCCCGGGGCTTGGTGCCAGGCTCACAGCAGGCACCGTGTGCCAGGTGAGCCATTGCCCAGCTGCCTCTTCCCAGGCCCCCAGGGAGCGTGTGCAAAGGCCCCGATGCAGGCTGAGCGGAGCGGCTCTGAGGGGAAGCCGGCCCTTCATGCAAGCCCTGTGGCAGCGCTCGGCCCAAGGGGTTCTTCTCTCTCTGCCTGATTCGGTCCCGCGTGGGGTCCGGTCCTCGCCCCCTGGGGCCTGCGTGCTGGAGGCGGTGCTGATGGATGGGCCCGCAGCGTTCTTGCAATAATCGAACCCCACTCAGCGGCGCTCTGTTGTGGATGCTGGGGTCACAAATGAATCACCCGGTCCCTGTGGCCGGGTGGGGCGGCAGACATGCAAATTGAAGTGGCAGCACAGGTGGGAAGAACCGTGGTGGAGGTGTGGACATGGCGCCCGGGGTCCAGGGCACAGGGTTCATTGTGATCAGGAGTGTGAGGAAAGAGCACTTCGTCCAAGAGGTGACATTTGATTTGGGCTCTAAAGAATGCACAGGACTTCGCCAGGCAGAGAAAGGGAGAGGAGAATTCTAGACAGAAAGGACGCTCGAAGCCCAGAGCCTTGACGACGGTGGGTGGGCTCGCATTTGTCACTGTCCCACTTGGGAGGGTGGACGGGCCCTGAAGGCAGAGGGGCCCTGAGGCTCTGGAGCAGGTCACCCTGGAGCCATGCTTTGGACAAGTGACTCTGGGTTCATGCAGGGAGAGAGTGGTGTGTGTGTGAGTGTGTGACTGTGTGAGTGTGTGTGTTCACACTTGTCCTGCATCACGTGACTGGGGCCCGGCCTCCTCTGTCTGCTGCCCAGGTGAGTGAGGACTGGAAGTATGTCGCCATGGTGATCGACCGCCTCTTCCTCTGGATCTTTGTCTTCGTCTGTGTTTTTGGCACGATCGGCATGTTCCTGCAGCCTCTCTTCCAGAACTTCGCCGCCGCCACCTTTCTGCACGCTGGCCACTCGGCACCCAGCTCCAAGTGAGGCCCTCCCCAGCCTGCGCTCCCTCGCCCGTGCCCTCTGACAGTAGTTTGGGGCGGAGGAGGGACAAGGGTGCTCCAGGCGGGGCGGGGGGGGGGGGGGCTGCCGTGGGCACATCCTGTCCCGCCACCCGGGCCCCTCCCCAGCACCTCTGGCGCCACACCGCAGCTGCCCTGTCCCCTTGCGCCAGCCAGGTGGTAGCTTGCTGGCCGGCGAAGGCTGCCGGGGGAGGAGGGATGGTGGAGATGTCGGCCTTGCACGCTGCGGCGGGGAGGGGCCGGGTCGGGGCAGCTCAGAGGGAGGGGCAGGGGGAGGGCCCGAGTGTGTCCTGACGTGGTCCCTTCCTGCACAGACGCGTGTGAGCTGGTGGGTCTGCGCAGGGCCTGACCTGGCGCTGCGTTCAGACTCCTGGGGGGGCCCCCAGCCCAGCCTCACAGCCCTTTGCTTCCAGAGCCCCAGCTCCGCCTGCACCCCTTCCTAGCCCAGGCCAGGGTGTGGTGGGCAAGGCTGGGGACCAGGGAGCCTCTGAAGTCTGAGTCTCCAGTGACCTGCTTGGAGCCCAAGGTCCAAGTTCTCCAACTGTGTGCAAAACGCAAGCTCACGGGCTGTTTTTCTCCACTTGAACTGACCGGGTGTTTGGAGTCAGTAAATCGAAGCTGTTAGTTTTAAGCCGACCTGACCTTCCTGCCCTGAGCAGAGGGGTCCCGGGCAGGAGAGAGTCAGCCCTGCCCCCCTCCCCGAGCCAGATCTGAGCTGGGCTGAGGCAGAAGCTCGTGGCCACCATTGGCTCTTCAGACCATGTGGCCTTTGCTTCTGTCCCCTGGGCCCCGGGGGCCTGTGTCCTCACTGCTCCCAGGGACGGGCAGGGGACCACCTGGCCTCTTAGCCCAGGAAACAGGCCCCTGACAGACCCCCTGCCCCCACCCCTGCCACACGAGTGGCTCTGACCTGTGGTCCCAGCCCGTCCTCAGCACCAGGCCAGCAGGTGGCCGGTCACAGAAGGGTCAGTCTGCCCAGTGCAGCCGGAGGGCCGGTGCTGTCATCTGGAGCCCCCCACTTCCGCAGGCACAGCAGAGGTGGGGGCAGTGCTGACGGGGGGGGGGGGGCGCACACAACGCAGGCCACGGGACCAGGCGGGCTCAGTGTGGCTTCTAGTCCCGGCTTGCCGCCTACTCGCTCGGCCTCGGGGAGCAAGTCTCTGGGCCTTGCTGGGCCTCGGCACCCTCATCTCTAACATGGGGGCAGGACCGCCCCTTCATAGGAGCCGGCTCCGTCCCCGTCCCCGTCCCCAGGGGGCAGGCAGAGCTGGGGCGCGGGGCTCACCTGCCTGTCCCGACAGCCCCTCTCTCAGCCCCTTCCTCACGCTGTCTCTTCCTTGAGCAAAGCGAGCCCCCGGAAGCAGGGTGGGAGCTGGGGACTGGAGCACCCCAGGGGGACGCTCGGTGGGTCTAATGGCCTCTCTCTGAAGTGCTTTCTGCAAAACGTCATTCTGCTCCTGGGTGGGGCTCCAGCCCTGACCCTGACCTCCCTCCTGGGCCAGCTCCTCTCACGGGTGTGGGCTTGGAGCCCCTGGGCCTGGCTGGGCCCGTTCTGGCCATAGACGTCCGCCAGCCGCTGGGCCAGATGCGCCTCGGCTGGTGCCCCCGCCTGGCGGGACGGGTCACCTCCTCTGCGGGCGGTGTCTTGGCCCCGTGGGACCCCCCCCTCCCTTCTAGAGCATCGCCCGTGCTATTCTCCGAAGCACCCAGGGGCCTGAACAACTGTTGTTAAGTACTTCCTGCAAGTAGCTATTGTCCAAGTAAGTCACCAAAACCGCTAGGGGGCGGCTCTAAGCCAGCAGCTTGCCCAGCGCTCCGCGTGAGGGAACCGAGGCCCGGACGCCGTAAGCACTTTGCTCTGACCTTGCTCATCGTCCGTCTGCACGACAGGGAGGGCGGAGCTGGCTGAGAGGCTGCGGAGGACAGGGTAACCGGGCTGGGCCCTGGGGGAGGGGAGGGGAGGGCAGAAGTGGGGCCCCCCCACCCCGCTGCTCCGGCAGGACAGGTTTGCGCCCTCAGGGCGCTGGTAACTAGGGAGGCACCGCCCCTCGTCTTCCCTTGTGCTGTGGGGTGTCCCTGGGGCGTCTCTGGAGAGAATGTGGTGCCCAGCTCCGTGCCCCGAATCTGAAGAGGGTGGTGGACGCTGGATTGAAGCCCGAGCACCTTGGCAGGGGCGCTGAGGCAGTGAGCCGGCCGGGTCTCCACCGGGACGGTGGGGCCACAGGCCGTGCGGCAGCCGCGTCATCCGACTGCTCTCGACGGCTGGTGCGGCAGCAGGCGGCCAGCAGCTTCTCGGTGGCGAGGCGTCTAACACCAGAACAGAGGTGCCTGAGCGACTGGACGCGGAAAAGCAAGCAGACTTGGCAGCCTCGCGGCGGGCCTTCTCCGCAGAGGAAGGCTGTGCAGGGAGGGCGACAGCGGGGCGCGACTCCCGCCCCCTCCCAGCCCCAGCCCTTTATTCCCGGACAGCCTGTGGGCAAGGGGCTCCGGGGAACAGAAGACTCCTAAGAGAGGCAGGGACGGTGGGGGGCGGGCTGGGGGAGGGCGAGGGTGTCTCTGAATCCAGTCCCTGGCCGGAGTGGACGCCAGCTCTCAGCCCGCAGCTTCCCCGAGCGCGGGGTGCGGTCACACCAGCCGGGACCCCGCCTGGGCCGGAGTGAGAAGCGGCCCCGTTCAGTTCAGTGTCTGTCCCACCTGGCCCGGCAGCCTGGCTGGCTGTCACATGGCTCCTAAGGGACTGTAGGTCTAGGGTCACCAGGACACCTAGCCTCCACCCCACTGCGCGCCCCCCCCCCCCCCCCCCCCCCCCCCGCACTGGCCTTGGTCTCCCTTGTCTGTGCTTCTGGAATATTCATAGCGGTCCCAGCTAACTCCAGGCCAGACTCATTAGGAACTCAACATTCTCGTAAAGAAAGTTGTTTCCAAAGCTCTCTTGTCTCTGTTACATTTGGGGGCCGGGGCCGGCTGGGGAAACGACTCGCGAGGCACGGAAGTGGGTACGAGACTCTGAAGGTCAGCAGTAACTCCAGTGACTGACTTGTGCCGAAGGCGGGCATGCACGGAAAGGGAAAGAACTGGCTGGGCCCAGAGTCCACAGAGCCTGTAGAGCGCTCCATGGGGGGAGGGGGGTCCCTTTTAAAGAAGGGGCCCCGGAGGCAGGGTTGGCCGGGTCTCCACAGCTGCCGTGTGCATGAACCCCCTTTGCTTTGGGCCCCAACTCAGAAGGGTGTTAAATTGTGGGCCTCTTGCACCCGAAACAAGCTGGGGACCCACCCCCAAGCCCACGGTGTCCCTGTGGGTGGCCCTGCCTCCCAGCCCACTTGGAGTGGGCGGTGGGGCCGCCTCGCTCCCTCTGCACACCCGCGTGGCACGCGCATCAGGTGTGAAGGAATCTGCCCGCGTCCTAGACACCTGGACACCCTCCGTGGGACCAGGAGCCGCCTGACTGGCTCCCGGCCGGTCCTGGCGGGGCAGACGCTCCCCTTCGCCGTCTTTGGAAACCGTCCAGCTGACTCAGCTCGGGGTCTCCTGGTCCACGAATGACAGCCATGCAGAGCTGTGGTCCCGAATGGGCTCCCGAACACGTCTCCACTGCCCCATCTGGGTAGGGGACGGGGAAAGAGGCTTTGCCATGACCCAGCCTCCCAGTCAGGTACCTCGTGCCCCCTGGTCACAATAACGTTTTCAAAACGACCAGGATGAATGTGGTAGAGACCGTGGACTAAACCACCACGTGCACACGGCCCTGCTCTCTTGGAAACTCAAGCGCAAGATACAGCCCAGGGTCTTGCGCTCAGTAAATGCTCCACACATGCGCATCCCTGCAGGGGAGGTGGGGGGGCCTGTGGGGGCGGGGCCCAGGAGCGGGGCGGGGGGGGGGGGGGGGGAGGGAGATGCCATCTCCAAGGGCATCCGAGCTCTGGGCCTGGATGTTGAGTCCACGTGGCCGGGGGCGGGGAGACTGGTGGGCAGGGTGGGTGTGTGGGGGGCTGAGGGTCGGCCCCGTCCCCGGAAACCCCAGGACCACGGCTCCATCTTTCCTCAGGCCCCCTCCCCCAGGAAGCCAAGACTGGAGGCTTTCTAACAATTCAGTCTCCTTTTTTTATTTATGAGGAATGTATAACGTGAGTCACTGTTACCAAGGGACACATAAGAGCAGAATCGCAGAGCTGCGGCCACGGCCACGCAAGTCTAAGCTCCGGCTCTCACACCAGGACCCAACCCACAAGGCCGCTCCGCGTGAGCACAGGAAATAGCTTCGGCGGTGACAGGTTCACAGGTGATAACCAGAGGGTGCACGGCAGCCAGGGGTCCGGACAAATCAACTACAAAGATCATTTTAAAAAAGGAAGAGGGCGTCCTGATTACTAAAAACAAACACTGGGCGGGAAAGTAGAGCACTGCAGGCGGGAGCCCTGCCCTACCCAGTCCTGCGGGGAGGGTGCGGGGTGGGGGGTGCAGGCCGCACAGCAGCATCTCCCGCAGACACCTCTTCCTACAGCGGAAACTGCGACAAGTCTGCGCTGTGTCCTCTGACCTCGGGGCGCGGGGCTGGGGTTTCCAGGGCCCTCGTGCTTCCAGTTGAGAAGAGGCGGCTGGGTCAGAGCTGGGGTCCTAACGCCCAAGGCGCAGCGGGGCGGGGGGGGGGAGGGTCTGCGCCTCCCAGAGGGCAGTGCCCCCCCGCCGCAGGACAGGCACTGTTTCCCCACAGTTCCTGGGGACACTGGGCCGTTCCATAAAGACATCTTCAGTATACTTGAAAAACTTGGGTTTTTTTTATTTTGGTCACTTTTTGGTCAAAAGCACAGAGGGGAACAGTAGCCACAAGAACAGAAATGTGAACGAGGGCGCCTCCACTGAAGGAGGGGGCAGACGGGAGCCTCGGCAGCAGTGGGGGGTACGGGGGGCAGGCCTCTCCCGCGCCGGCTGGAGCCTTCTGGACACAGCCAGCGCCCGGAGGCTCGAGCCCGGGGGGCGGCCGGGCACCGGCCTTGAGCGTGTGGGCGGAGCTGGATTCCGCAGCCCGAGGCTGGGACCACAGGACTCAGCAGTGGCTTGAGGCGCCGACGCCAGCCTTCAGGACAAGCTGCCATCCTGACTACTACTGTCAAGTAACCACTGTCGAGTGTCAACCCTCTAAAGGTCCCCTAACGGGCAGGGAGACCTCGGGCCTGTGACCTGCCTCCCCCAAAGCCACCTCACAGACAAAACCGCTTGAATAAATGGAAAATTATGTCTGATTTTTAAATCTGCGCAGTTACAGGTTACCTGTAGCCGTTAAGAATCAACATTTATGGTATTATTAAAAACTCTTAATTCACCGATGATTCTGTCAACCTTCCCGGGCGTCACTGTCACGAGAAGCGCACCCGACCCACCGGGACGCCGTGCCCCGTTCTAGTCCTGATTACCTGAGTGGAGAGGGGCCTGCGCAGGCGTCTCCCCCAGGGGGCTGGGGTCGGTGGCCCTGCTGTCCCCGCTGGCAGGTCTGCGCCCCCTGGGGGTCGGCGCCGCCCCCAGGCCCTCTGCCACCAATGGGGCCCGGCCCCCGGTGCCGGCTAAAGTGCAAGACCCGAAGGTCGCTGACCGCCACGTGCCGGCTCCGACCCCACGGGCCCGGGGCACCGCCTGACCTGCAGATGCTTCACCCAGTCAAGCTCGCCCGTGACCCTCTCGGAGGAAAAGGAGAAACTCCATGATCAGAAGGAGGGGATGGCACAGGGCAGCGGGGAGACGGGGGGGGGGGCTTACAGAGCCCGCCGAGGGCGCCCCCAGCCCTGCCAGGACTCAGAGCTGATGGGGGCCCGGCCACGACGGCGAGAGGTCGACGCAACACAGGGAGGGGCGGTGGGACCCAAGCGGGGCTCAGCGGGACGTGGGCCGAGGCCCCTCGTGCTCGTGTGGTGGGAAGAGATGCGCCTCCCCCACGCCCCGCAGGCAGGGCAGGGCGGGCAGGACCCCAGTTGCCGGCGTCCCGGGCTTGCCGCCACCCCCGCAACGGGGCGGCACGGCCCGCCTGCACCCTGCCCGGCGCCCGGGCGCTGCTACACGGGGCAGAGGTAGAAGTTCTTCTCCTCCTGCGGCTTGCTGACCCACGTCCCGTAGCCCATGTCCTTGAGGCCCTTCTTGAAGTAGTTCTTGGCCACCTCGTAGTCGCGGGCCGCCTTCTTGGCCTCCCCGTAGGAGAGCCTGAGGAGGTCCCTGCGGTAGCGGAAGGAGCAGAGTTTCTTAAACAGGAGAAAAATGTTCTTTTTGGAGACCCGGGAAAGCTCGTTCCGCGGCCTGGAAGGGACAAGAGTGCTCATTACTGCCCGTGGGGGGGGGGCGGGGGAAGCCTGGGGACAGAGGGGGAGGGGAGCTCAGGGACAGAGTGGGGGGATGGGGACAGAGGGGGAGGGGAGCCCAGGGCAGGGGTGGGGGGCGTGGACGGGGCGGCCCCGGCTCCTCACCCGTCCACGGTGCCTCTGGTCCCGTCCAGGATCTCCAGGTCGTAGCCGTCAGCCAGGCACCAGTTGACGCTGGTCTCTTTCGTCTTCCCCGACTGCCTCTTCGAGTCGTACACGCTGACTCGGCCCACCTGGGGTTCCCGAGAGGGACGGTAAAGATGGAGCCTTCCGGGAGAAGGGCCTGCGGCAGGGACTGGGTGTGGCTTGGGATCCCTCCCCGAAATCTAGGGTTCTGTTTGGTGAAGACTCTAGGCTTACTGACCCCTGCTCTACTCAAACGGGCTGCAGACGGAAAAGAGAGCCGTCGGCATCGGAGGGGACAGAGGGACGAGCTCCCGGGACACCAGTGAAGGCTCCTCCCCGCCCGCAGCGCACGCAGGGTGCCCCAGACACGCCCACACGGACCGGAGAAAACGTCCAGGGAAAACGGACGGGGCTACACACCTTGGGGTGGTTGACGATAAAGGGGGGCCGCAGCCCGTCCTCGAAGGCACTCCCATCCCTTGTCACACGGCAGCAGATGGCACGGGTCAGATGCCCTTGGCTGAAGAGATAACCTGGGCACAGAGAGGAGACCACGCTTGTCTGTGCCCGACTGCAGAGGCTGCGAGCGAGGAGCGTGGAGAAGGCACTGCTGGGGCCGTGAGGGCCGAGGCAGCGCCCTGTCGGGAGGTCACACCTGCAGGCGTTTCGGGCTCCGGGTGACACTAGAGTCAGAACCTTTCCGTGACCCCGGGCGAGACCTCCCTGGGGAGCATTTGCGCTGCCTGAGCCTGAGCCTGAGCCTGAGCCCTCCCCAACACAGTGCAGATGCGGGGTTAGCACCTGGCAATGATGCCCGTGGCCTGTGGGGACGTGGGCGGCAGGCAGGACCCTTACCCAGCGTGACAGACTTGAGGTACACGGGCTGCAGGAAGTGCGTCAGCAGTGCCCCCTGCAGGCCAAGCACGTTCCAGCGCAGGATCTTGTCGCTGCAGGACATGGTACGGAGTCGCTCCCCGAGCCGGATGCCGTCCCACGTGGGCACGATGTCACTGGATTCCACTGGGATTGTGCCTTCCCCTGTGGAGGGACATGGGTCAGGGCCACGGGGGGCCCGGAGTCGGGCCACTCCCGCTGTGGCCTTTATCCGCCTTGCACTTGGACCAAGGCTCTCGCCGACTCATCCTTCCACGGATTCGAGGTATCAGCCACGCCAGCACCGTGCCTGGTGCTGGGAACACTGGTCAGCAAACCCAGGGGATGCTCGAGCCCCTGGAATGTGTGCGCAGGTGAGGGGGCAGGAGAGACAGACAGTAAGCACGCAAAGTGCTCCCCACACACACGTGCGTGCACACACGAATCCTGAACGGCAACAGTGCCCGAAAGCCAGGAGGAAGGCGGGCCTCCAGGGATGGACTTGCCAGCGCCGCAGAAATATGAAGGAGAAGCAACAGCTGACCAACGGTTTCAGACACAGAGGGCAGCACAAGCAAAGGCCCTGAGGCAGCAAGAGGCTGGCTTGTCCAGGTTGCCAACGATGAGCCAGTGGGTCTGCAGGTTTGGCTTTTATGTGCGGTGTGCTGGGAAGGGCTACAGGGCGGCGCTGCTGTTTTCTGTCAGCTGCACACCCAAGGTGGGGTTGGAACTCGTGACCCTGAGATTATGAGTCACATGCTCTTTGGACTGAGCCAGCCAGGTGTCCCTTGTTTTACTTTTGAGTAACAACTTAGCTGAGACAGAATTCACTCACATAACGTGCACCGTTCCCCGTGGTTTGCAACGTATGCACATGGGCGTGGGACCCTCACCTTAGTCAGTCCCAACTTCCATCGCCCTGGGAGACACCTGCCCTGGCTGGCCCCTCCCACCTCTGGCCCCAGGCGACGGGCCCACAGTCTCTGCCCTCCAGACATAAATGGAGCCACAGAGCAGGTGACCTCCTATGACTGGCAGGTGTGTCCTCAGGGTCCGGCGAGGAGCCAGCACCGTTCCCCTTTTGGGCGCCGTGTGGACGGAGTTGCTTTGTTTATTCACCAGCGGGCAGACCCTGGGGCAGCTCCCACCTTCTGGGGACACACACAGGGGCCAGCTGCTGGGTCCTGGGCAGGGAGGTGACCCGGCCTGAGGGCACGGGAGTGGCCGTGAGGCGATAGCCCAGGGCGGTGGGGAGGAGGCCACCTCTCGGCAAGTGCGTGTGCACGTCACTTCCTGTCCCTTCCTGTTTCCCTGCTGCCCCGTGGCCATAAGGATCAGCCTCGGGACCTTGTGTTTCTGGCTGAGCTCTGTCCCCCGAGTTCTAGGGGGGGCACCTCCCCAGCCTCAGAGCAGAAGCCGGGCCTCCCTGCAGCCCATGCCCGTCCGCGGGTGTCTCTCCCGCCAGCGAGCCTTCCCGTGGGGACGTGCGTCACTCACCATTCTCCACCTTGGTGCGCAGCTTGCCCTGCTTGGGGTTCTCGAAGACAGGGTAGTGGCGGGACTCGGCGCTCTCCACGGCACGGTCGCTGCAGGACTTGTCAAAGAGGGCGCCGTCCCCACACGGGGCGGTGCTGCAGGCCACTGCGGCCGTCAGGGCCTGCCTGTGCACACGGCCACGCGCGGGGCAGGGAGGCGGCGGCGGCCTTCGCGGGCAGCCCTCAAGAGCAGGGCCACCCGCCGGGCAGAGCACCCTTGGGAACTGAGTGAGGGGCCTGGTGGGGGCAGGGACACGGGGCGCACGGACCTGATGTACAGGTGGGGGACATGGGGCGCACGGACCTGATGTACATGTGGGGGACACAGGGCGCACGGACCTGATGTACAGGTGGGGGACACGGGGCGCACGGACCTGATGTACAGGTGGAAGGACACGGTCTTCTTGATCTGGAGCTTCTCTCCTCCCTTCGCGGGCTCGAAGATGCTGTCCTTCGCGGTCTGCGGGTTGTACTTCATCAGCTCGCTGTACAGGAACCTGCGGGCAGGGCGCCGGTGAGGACGCCCACCCTCGACAAGGGGCGGGGCCGAGCCGCGGGGGGCGGGGCCGAGCCGCGGGGGGCCCACCTGATGAAGCCTCTCCGGGAGATGATCTCCGCGTGGCAGTCGTTGACGGTCTCCCCCTTCAGGCTGAGGGAGTCGCCCTTCACGCAGCGGTTCCCTGGAAGCGGAAGGGCCGGTGACCTCTCCGCAGGGCACAGGCAGCCTCCCGTGCTTGTCCCCGCACCCTCCTGCGCGGACCATGGCCACGACCGCCAGCACAAGCGGGTACGAGTCTGCTCCTGCCAGGGTCACCGCCCCCGGGGGGGGCCTCACCGACCTGTCCCCAAGCTGACCACGACCCCCAGGTCATCAGAGGCCTTCTTCATGATGACGGCGGCCAGGATCTTGCGGCCGAGCAAGGAGGGCTGGAAGCTGTTGGTGAGGGCGTTGAAGCAGCGGTGGCTCAGCATGGCTATCTGGTCGTGGAAGGTGCTGCCCGTCAGGGGGAGCTGCGGGCACAAGGCTGCGTCAGGGCCGCGGCAACCGGCCCCCGCCCTCCCGCTCGCCCGCGCCGTCCCTGCTGAGGCGCCGGGTGGCAGCCCAGGAGGGCGACCCGGGACAGCGAGGGCAGACCCCGAGAGAGGACGGCAGCAAGGGTAGACGTCTTAACTGTCTTTGGCTGTGCTTCGGGGGAGCTCGGGAGGAGAGGCAAAGTTCTTCTGAGACCGGCCCCCGTCACTGGGGTTACCTCTGTGAAACCCATGCGCTCGGCCTTCTCGTCCTCCCCAATCAGGACGCGGAGCGCCGCGTCGGCCGCCTCCTGCTTGCCTTGCTTCTTGCTGTGGGCACACACGGCCGGGAACCAGCGCCCCCCGACTTTGGCCTGGTACACGAACCTTCAGGACGAGAAGCAGGATAAGGACGCGTGCCCGTGACCCCGACGGCGTGTCAGTGGGGGGGGGGGGCACAAGAGGCACAGCCCCCGGGACCCACAGCGTCCTGTCCGCCAGCTGCACGGACCAGCCGGGCTGCGGCTCGCCTCCCGCCCTTCCCCACCCGACCCTTCTCCAGCGGACACGCTTGCAAAGGATGCTCCCCGTACGTGGAAGACCAGTGCCACATGCCACACGCTTAAGGGGCCACAGAACCGAATGGCATCATGTCTCGAAATCTGACGAGACGCAGCTACCTGCGGGGGTTCTGGGCTGCGGCACAGAGGAGTCAGCAGGTGGGGGACGGGCTGGCCCAGCAGGGGCGGACTCCTCTCCGTACCTTAGGCAGAGACGACAGGGACGCTCTCTCCCTCGAGGCACCTCATTCTGTTTCCTGACTCCCCGGTTACAGGCGCCCGGCTTGGTGCGCTCAGACAGCGCGGTGTGCCAGGCAAGGGGCCTGCGCTCTCCGAGGGTGCCCGGGAGGGAGGAGGCGCACCTGGGCCCGAGGGCTGTGTGGGCAGGAGTCGCGAGGTGGCCAGTGGGCCACCCAGGCGCAGACGTGAGAGCACAGCGGGGCGTCTACTGCCAGGGCGCCACAGGTCCTCACTTTCCGCCCCGTCCTAAACTGCAGGGGCAGCACACACCCTTCCCTGCGCTCCGCCAGGCTGAGCGGCCCGTCCCGCGCACTGGGGCGCCCTGGCTCCGTCTCCCCCTTTAATAAGGAAGCTCAGGGCAGGACAGGGACACGACACGATAGACGCCAGAGGGCGGCGGGGCCAGACCGTGCCTCTGCCTGACAGATGCAGGATTTCAGGCCTGTTCTGTGTCCGAAAGAATATGAATTCTTCGGCACAAAAACGGAGGTGCGTGCAGGCTCGCCTTGGAGACGGACGAGCTCGGTTCCAGACCCCAGCACCCAAGTGAGTATTGCAACAAAGCGAGTCAAAATACACTGCTTGGTTTCCCGGTGCACACGGAACACCGTCTACACCACACCGTCATCTCTTGGCTGCAACAGAGTTAAGGCTAAAGGACCACACACGTACCTTAACGAAAAATGCCTCACTACTAGAGGAATGCTGACCGTCACCCGAGCTGTCAGCGCCTTGTGATCACCGGGCACAGATCACCATAAAAATACTGAGAAAGGTTTAGACACCATGAGAACCACCAGCCGTGGTGCAGATGCAGGAAGGGAGCAAACGCTGCTGGGAAAATGGTGCCGATGGACTCACTCCACGCGGTTCCCGCGTGTAAAACCCGGAAGTGCGAGCATAGAGGCGCGGCACAGTGCGAAGAGCCTGTACGTACAGGACATGGGGACACAGGGTGACACTTTGAAGCTGTCACACGGAAGCCACCAGGCACGGTCCAAGCGCTCAGTAAGCACGGGACACTAGTGGTCCTTCCTGGGCTGCAGGGCGCCAGTGAGGACAGGCAGCAGGGGGAGGGGGTACGTGCGCGGTCTGGGGGCCTGCCCAGAGGCTGGAGACATGCAGGGGCGAGGAAGGGATGTGGCGGGTGGCACGGGGAGGAGGAGGAGTGTCCTGCACACAGTGCAGATGCGGGTGGGGAGGAGTCTGTCACGAGAGTGCTGCTACTTTCTCAGGTGTGGAGGAGGCAGCCAGTTTCCAGGGGGAAGGGGTTTCGTACACGACAGCCATGAGAATGCTGAGGGACAGGTGGAGGGGGTCTGGCCTCCCGCCTTCGCCAGTGGGCTCCCCTCCCAGCGCCGACCTGGGCTAGCTCCTTCCTGAAGCCCTGTCCTCTCCCAACCTCCCTGTGGCCACCGCGAGGGCACCTTCCTGACGCCACCAAGCAGACGCTCAGGCCATCACGCAGCTCGAGCTCGTGGAAACGCGCACGAGACAGGAGACCTTACGCTTCTCTATGTGATTCCACATTCATATCTGGCGCCCGTGCAAACCACAGAAATGTGGCCCGTCAACATTCCTAAGTGAACAAAGAAAGCAGAGCGGGCAGGAGGCTGCCGGAGGGAGGAGGGAGGTTCGCGCAGAGCTGTGCACACAACACGTGGACCGAGGGACGGTCTGCTTGTCGGAGGTGCTGGGGAGACAGAAGCCGGCCCACCCTGGGGTCTGGCCCGTGGGCAGACAGCAGGGCCACTGAGACGGGGGGACCAGAGCCCTCCTCTAGGCAGGTGGGACTGGGGGTCAGGGGGAAGCGACAAGGAGGCTGGACAGAGGGGCCCAGGGCCCCGGGAAGGTCTGTGCTGGGCAGACACACTTCGTGGTTTCCAGCACTTAGATGTTATAGGTCGTGAACTCAGTAAGGTCACCAAGAAGGCCAGAGAGAAGGGAAGACAGAGGGTAGAAGGGTGCCGCAGCCCCTGCCCCTGCACAAGTGTTCAGGCGTGGCAGCGGCCGGGGGTCCGCCACGCACCGGTGAGGGTCACAGTGATCTCTGAAATTCTGCGTGAGTCAAAGTCCCAGGGAGGGTTTTATGGAAACAAAAGAGGAGACGGCCAGATCGCAGGCATGGAGGCAGCGGCTGAGGCCAGGGAGGGCAGTGGGCGCCAAGGGCAAGCGGTGGGCAGGGGTGCGGCGGCCTCTCCAGGCCCCCGGCCGTCTCTCAGCTCCCTCCTGCCCCGCTCTCACAAACCAAGTAAAAATGGGCAGACTAGGCCAAGAGCAGGAAGTTCACAGAAAAAGAAACACAACATATAAATATGAAGACATGAACATTACTTATTAAAGAAACTTAAAATAAGGGGTCATTTTTATGAGCTCTTCTCCTTTAACAATGTTTTAAAATTGAACAGTTGGATATGCCACAAAAATACAAACAGTTAAGGATATACAGGGCGCCTGGGGGGCTCAGTCGGTTGAGCGTCCGACTTCGGCTCAGGTCATGATCTCACGGTTCGTGGGTTCAAGCCCCGCATCAGGCTCTGTGCTGACAGCTCAGAGCCTGGAGCCTGTTTCAGATTCTTTTTTTTTTTTTAAATGTTTATTTATTTCTAGG